GAGTCAATATTTCTATTATTTAGTATTAATCTTGTATCTGTCATAGTCGATTGCAAATTTATTTTTATGTAATACTCTGTATAGTGACCACCCAGAGACAATATTTGGACTTTTAAATGTATCTAATTTTGCGTTTTATTCCATTCGATTTCCATTATAAATTTAATTACGAGTTTATCTTTAACAGTTTAATCTTTTATTCTTATTATGTAGGTACCTACCATCGTTTTTTGATCGAAGTCTGTTCAAGCGTTTCAAAATAGAAATTCAATCTAATCAATGAACACGAAAGTTAATAAAAGTTTTATAATAATATGACGTAATGCTCTACTTTCTTATAACTCTTAAACAGAAATAGAAATTGAAAATTGATACGAACAAGACTACGGCTTTTCGGTAATTGTCATTACGTAGTGAACAAATAAAAAGAAAAGAAATTTAACACAAGGGTAAAAAATATCAAGATTATTTTCTATTAGTATAACAATTAATTACTTAGTTTTAACTATATTTTTTGCATAAATAAAAATTGCAGAAAGAAAAGAAATGATAGAATAACCTAATATTTCTTCTTTGTCGTAGACTTCGTATTCTTTTTCATTTACATGTTGACTTATTAATATACAACAACTAAACTTTACTACATGATTAAACTAGAAATAAATTCAGCAAACTTAAGGTGACCCTTATTAAATAGAAAATTATAGAGGATTTCAGCAAGGCATAGCCATAGCCTATGTATGATATATTCAAAACCGGACTTTTGGTCGGGTCTGTATACGTGTCATGTAAAGTGCTTAACTACCGGATATTTTATTAGATGGCAGTTATCTCCTACGGTAGAATTACCAAATAAAAACTTTTTACAAAACACTTAAATTACTACCTACTAGTAGCAATTTGTGAAGGTGAGAAGTAGTGTGAGAATATTGCCACATAATAATAAGTTACCGACTAAAGTATAGTCTTACTTTCGTTGGCTAAGCAATCGACTAACATCTTTTATTACTTAATAGCCGCATAACCTTTTGTTTGTTGTCTCACGGTTGTCACGTGCGTTTTGGAACGAGGCGTCGGCCTTGTTGCAAAAATAAAAACCTGGATGTAACTCAACCGGTTGTAATGAATCTTGTCCGCCCTGAGTGGCTGACCGACACATACAGATGTAAAATAAATCAGGGTACTACTCTATCTCTATCTATTGAGAAAATACTGGCTGAAATTTTACTATTAATCTGACACACTAGTCCGTGTGGTGACGGATTAAGAATACAAATTGTCACTACCCCAATTCATCCCGTGGGTGTCGTAAGAGCCGACTAAGGGAGCAAACTAAGCAGGTCAACAGCACTGCAAAGAGAAGGAAAACTTGAAACAAACCCTATACCAACCCGTCTGGCCAGCGTGGTATAGTAGGCCAAAACCTCCTTTCTAAGGAGAGGCCTATGTCCAGCAGTGGACTAGTATAGGCTGTTGATGATGATGAATCTGACACACACCGAAAAAGATATTTATGGATAGTTCTACATTTGAATAAGCTATACGATATACGGCACATACATAGCTCATGCCTAAATTATATCTTATTTAACTACGAGGTAAAAATTACGATCGTATGATTAAAAAAGGTTAATATTTCATATAATAGTTTTCAATGAGAAATACAGCATGACATTAAAATGCATAAATAGACAAAAATAATGGCCAAATTAATTAAAATATTTTTGAAACGATTATGAATTTCTTCTATGAATGAATTTACAAAAATATCTTCCAAAAACTTTTTATTTACATCAGTATAATAAACAGACAAATATCCTTCTTTATTCTTCTTCTTCGTATTTATTCTTCTAAAATTTTAATGGACGGTTTGTTTACAAAGAAAGAAAATATTTTGGTAAATCGTTATCGATTGTGTTCGTTAACAACAAACAAAGACCATAAAAATATGCTACCAAAAAAAACAGGTTCCTTGAAAACAATATTTACAATTCTGTTTGGTTTCGAACTGGGGTTGCCATTCGTGATAAAAAAAGTATCTCACTACATTTTAGTCTATTGTGTTGTATTACACAGCTTGTAGTTTGTTATAGATCAACGATATCTTTTTATAATATACCTTAATATTTTTTGTCCCTGTTTCAAGTGTCACGATTTTTTATAGTTACAGTAAAAGATAGCTTCTACAATTACAAAAATATAATTATTTCTGAACTTAAAAAGTACTATTAGGCTTATAAAAAAGTGGCAATCCTTACAGCACAATAGGGCTGGCAAGTAAAAAGCACTGCATAAATGAATATTTAGAGAGCCAGTTATCACAGACGAGGTCGAGATTGATCAAGTCGGACAAGGTCACGTGACTTTTGTTTGAAATTCACATCAATGGGCAAATATGTCACTGACTTTCGAGACGACGATTACGGCAATTTAATGGCACCATGAGTTTCGCTTTTTCTTAAAAAAATAAGGTTTTGTTTTTTTACGGTCTTTTTTTAGTTGTTGTATTGTTTGCTGAAGTTAAGTCACACACTACTGATAGTCTCGTTAACTTCGAGTAAACTTGTGTTAAATTAATAATATTATGATCCGCAGGTTTAATATTACTGTGGACTTTGGAGTTTAAAACCGTAATATACGAGAAATATAGATATTTTAAGCATTCCGGGTAGGTTTAGGTAGTACTCCCCGGTCAGTGATCCCCTCCACTGTCTGCCATGTTAATCCCTTTACCTAACCATATTTGATACGATCCTAGCAATACTGTTTTGGATATTCGTTCAAGAGCGGCATTAAATTTCTGTACCCATTTAGTATTTATGCAAGAGATGAAAGGAGGCTTGAAAAAAAACCCTTTAAAATATCAAGCCATAAGGACTGTTTTCATTGGCACTTATATGATTTTGGTTTGATACAGCGAAGTTACGATGAGAAGACGATTAAAGTATGAAATCGATAAATAAATAACTAACTACACCGATTTCAAGAAGGGAAGATGAAATCGGTAAAGTTAGTAATGTTGAAGTGCCATATTGATACATCATCCGTCCGCCCGTCCAGTACTGGACTTGGGTCTCCCTGACTGAAAAAAAAGACCGATAGATAAGCGATACTGTACTCAGCGATGCGTAAGAGGATAAAGTTGTATATTTTGATGTATGCTAATACAACCCAACGGATCAAGGCGAACTATCCAAATGGTTTCAGCGTATATATTATTGATCGCATTATTTATAACCATACGTTATTGCTTCCTCTCCCTATCAACACTGAAGATAATAAAATGCTTATTTTGCTTATTTTTAAACCAGTAAATATATAGGTAAATGATTCCAAAAAGGAAGGGTCAGTCAGGATTAGACCAAAAGACTCTGATTTAAAATATATTCCTGACAAGGCATCTATTTTTTTTTTTAAAGTTGTATGTTGTTACAGTTTTTTTTTGTCAGTGGTATTATTGCAAATACTAGAAAAAGGAATTTAGAAGAAACGTTAATCGACAAATGCAAATTTTAAATTTCGAACGACCTGAACACATCGAAGTTCGTCGTAGATGAAGTATTGATCCATTATGTCGACAGTCGACAGACCTTAATGTCTTACCTTCGTTTTCTTATATGCGGTTTTTATTTTAGGTACCGCTACTGTTAAAATGGTGATATATGACTAAGTTATCAATCACATATCTAAATCGTCTATATCTACACTAATAAAATACTTTGTCTTACAATTAATTGTAGCAGTTTTAAGAGTCTGGTCTGGTAGAGTTGTAGATCTTTTGCAATTATAAAAAAGACTAGATGCCTAAATTTCAGACTTACTATTTCAACAAAGATCACATATCTAGGTCTAGGTAAACTTATTGGCTTATTACGCAGTTGTCAGTTAAGGAGCAAATACGGCCCAATTTTTGAATATTCTTTTGACAGCTATAAAAAAAAATTATTCATTTTATCTAAACATGTATAAGTTATTAGCAAACGAGAAGGTATTGAAGTAAGGAAATCTTAATGTTGTTTTGTAGTGACATGTCACGATATGTCTCTTGAATTAACAACAAAAACAATCCTCTATATAACACCCGTAACGCACGCTATTCACATTCTCTTGGGACATTGGTATAACTTCAAGGAAATATGGTGTGAGATTTATTATTCACGGAGGCGAACAATGACATCACGTTCAAACAAACAGTATGTCACGGACGGTAATTACTTAACAAACCGAAGCTCTAAATACGCAAATAGGTGCAAAAGTGCATGTGCAAAGGTCCCGTTTTCCAACTGCGCATAACCGTGTCACATTTCATTCCGAATCTGGAGGATTATGAGCGAGGATTATGTCATGTGTTAAGTGGCACGAAATTACATGTGATTACCGTGAGAATCTTGTAGAATGGTATTTATTCAATGTTCTTGTAAGGTTTTGTCTTGCTGATAGTATATTGATTTATGTAATTACGAGTATGTTTAATATTATCATGTCTTAAATACCATTAAATTTTATAACAATTGTATTTCTTTTTTCTTACTTGAAAGAAATTCTACACTCGAGATAGGTTAAGTCTTTACATGGAAATGGATATTAAAAGTACTTGGACAATGAAGTGTTCTGTTTCTGCGGATACATCAGTTTGTTCTTTTATTTTTTATGTTTGCTCTTGGAATTTTAATGGTTACATAATTCTTGGGTCTTAGTTTCTGCGCCATTGCAGGCGCTTACGAATACCATCACCGTTATTCGTTTCTTTTTTACCTTTTGCTATTTTATCTTCAAGCTATTGAACCCCCGAAACTCTTGTACAATCTATTTTTAACTTAGGTTCGTTATCGCATAGGGTTGATGGATTGCGAGACGATTTCTACAGATTGTATTTTTGTTTGAAACGAAAATCTTATAATAAACGGCATGTCGCAGATGTCTGTTATCGTGGATTTTTGATAATTATATGTACATAGAGCTACGCCCACTGTTGTAACTGTGACGGATATGGTGTGCAATCATAATGTACGACGTGCAGATGTGATCATGAGCGCACTTTCACCTCCGCCCTGTTCAAATGGATTGCGTGTGAACTGTAAGTGCGGCCCGTATGCTGTCGCAATAATGCCCCTCTTGGGGACAATGAGGGCTAAGTCATTTATTACGCAGTTAAAGGGGCTTGATTCATTGCGCTTTTATTAACTCGGTTAGTCTTATCGGGAGCTCTTTCTATAGATATTCGAGGGCCGTTTCTAGGCCAGTGTCGATCTATGTCAATGCGGTTTCTTACAATTATTGCAGTACGTGATGATACGTACCAGCTTTCGCTAAACGTGTTGGAGTGCAAATGGGTAGACGGATACATAGTTATATTGTGGTGTCGCTAAGGAGGGTCGTAGCGCGTCGTCGCCGGTCGTCTGCCGACATCGATCGCGCTGTTTGTAAACATTGCACCAGGTGAAAGAAACAAATGCCAATGAATGAAAATGAACTCACCTTGACTGTTTGTGCGCTGTCCTTGTCGAGCAGGAACTCCATGGACTTGTGCGGTCTGGGAGCTCGCTGGTCTGGCGGTGCGAGCGCCAGCAGGGAGCGTGCGTGCAGGACGGTTCGCTGCGTGTCCACATCGGTCTCCAGCACGCCGGTCGCCGGAGCGGGCGGCGGACGCGGCCTCGGGGGCTTGTGCGCCACACCGCCCGCCACGGAGGGTGCCGCCGACCGCGACACACCCTCCTCCTTCAGCGGGATGCGGACATACTGCGGCCCGGCAGCCGCCCCGCGCGGTGCGTACCCCGCGTCTGCCGCCGTTGCCGTACCATTCGTAGAGGGTCGCGCGTTCGCGCCTGCGCCTCTTGTTTTTTTCTCCTTGCGCCCCGAAAATCGGAAGTTAGCGAATCGCGAGAGGAAGCCGGCTATGCGGCTGCGCGGCGCGCGCGCGCCCGTTTCCGTCATGGCGGCGGCGCGCTCTGTGGCCGGCGCGCGCGGCTCCTCGCCGCTCCCCTCCACGACCTCCACCTCTGCGTCGTTAGCGTCATCGCTCGCGGTCGTTTCGCTCTCAGTGGTACTCGAACTCGTCTCCCGCCAGCTGACTTCTGCAACCACCGGTGAGAACGTTACTCCCTTAGAGCCTGCGGACACTGACCGTACCGGGGGTCCGGCATCCGGGGGTGGCGGCGCAACCAATTGGAGCGACGCGCGCAATTCTTCAGGTGTTTCTCGATGTGGCGTACCTCGAGAGCGCAACTCCGGAGTTGATCTAACGCGTGCATCGTTCGATCTTAGGGGCGTCGATGTGAAAGGTGGTTCTCGTATCGGGTCGGGGGATGGCGTTCGCGGTGGGGAAGGGGACGGCGACGGGGGGTCCATACGGCGGCGTAACTCTTCGAGCACATCATCCCACGCACCCCATGAGTCGTGTAATCGTCTAGTAGTCATAACAGAGAGTTCGCGATCATAATCACCGCTCTCGGCGAGTGCTCGTAGTGCCGTTTCATCCAGACGACGCGCCGTCGCCTCCATTTCACGTACAAACGCGCACTCCGACTCTGTAGTAGAATCACTGCTTGCACTTGGTTCTCGCGCAGGGGATTCCGTGGTTGCTTGCCGGATGACAATTTCGACCGGCGGGGGTGGCGGTGGAGGTACATGGCGGTGAGCGCGTGGTGGCGGCGGTGGTGGAAGGCGAGGCCGCCGCGGTCCGCCACGGTAGTCCAGGGCTGTGAGGTCAGCCACGCTGACGGTGAGATTGTCAGAAACTTCAAAGGTTTGTCGGAAACGCGCTCGATGGGCGACGTGACGTCTCGGCTCGGCGCACACGTCGAGCTCGGCGGGGAGTGAGAGAGCACGCGCTGCGCGGGGCGGGCGCCGCTCCGCACTGGGTGAAGCAACGAGACAGGGTGCACTACCGGCGGCGGCGGACCGGTGCGCTATTTCGGGCGGACGGCACGGTGAGGATGGGAGCGGACGTCGAGACCGCTCGCAGTAGCCACTATCCTCACTAAGGTTCTCTGCAGACAGGTGGGTGCGCGGTGCGGGTGCACGTGCGGGCGGAGGTGACGGCGGTGGCGACTCCAACGAGTCTGGCGATAAGCTAGGCGAGGCGGGTGCGGCACAGGAACGTTCCAGTGACTCAAACTGTGCCAGGCTTGAGGAGCGCGAGAGCGAGCCCGTGCTGGTCGGCGAGGAAGCGCGCTCGCGCCGTCGCCTCTTCGCCGGACACGCCCACTCGCGCTCTGACTCGCTGTCGCACTCTGATCCTGAAGGAAAGAAAACCGAGAGGAACTCTTAAAATTCACTCTTCGCGCAGTACGTCGCGCCGTTTAGACGACGACAATGACAGTGACATGAAATGGGAACGCTTACTTCTATATATTAGTTGGACACTATCCAAGAGATCAGTAGAATAAAGTTAACACAGTTGCCAAAATCAGGCCAGAGACAATGGAAGGTTTCGAGCATCATTTATGTAAATATTACTGTTATGTTAAGAGACATAGCATTAAACTTTTGTTTAAGGTTTCTTCTAAACAGAACTTCAACACCCAAGAAAATGTTTTGTCAGAATACAAAAAGGAGGAAGTAGAAGCAACCAGTGGAAGATTTGTAACAATTAAGTCAGATAAATAAATAAGTTTTCTGTGTGGGAATCGAACCCACAATAATAGACGCGGTTAAAGTTCAACAGATAACTAATTAAGTCACAGTCATCTGTCTTCATAAAAAAAGTAATATGTTAGGCTTTTACACTGCCATCTATATTATAAGAATAGAACTTTAATGATTTTGCAACTTACGTTTTAGTACCACTACTTCTCACTAGATGGCATTGATTAAAAGAAACAAAAATATCTTTTACTTGATGAATGAATATTTAATTAAAACAAGTTTTCTGACCCTTTAATGGTTAGACGTGCAGAATAAAAAAAAAAGATTTATATTTGAGTTAACAGGTTGCAATAACTCTTTCTTTACACGAATGCTCTAAGTAAGTTTCAAAATTAATTTACTGTTTTACCCTCAACTTCTATCTCACCATATCTGGCCAGAATATGCCTTTTATGCCTTTTTTATTTTTGATAATAACTTAATCTTCTTGATAATATTTTATTTATTTTTATTTATATTTATTTTGTATGATTTTTTCTCTTAGTTTAATTTTAATGTTTATTTAACGTACACCTCACAGTTATAACTTCATATTTACGTCGATTATATTTATTAATGTAATCGATTTCGATCGAGTAGACAATACATAATAGTATGAGCTTACGGTTATATATATACATATATATTTATATATATTTTTTTATACGTAAATGGTGTGTTTGATACCTGCAGCACCGCGCACATGTATAACCGAATCTGCATCTGAATCCGAGAGCCATGTTGCAGCAGAAGAACGTTCTGAACGCAAATCATCGCTCGTTTCCTCGACTATGGTTTCGAGGTATAAAGCGTGAGTGCTGCCATTGTCACCTGCCAACAAAAAATAAATTGGTAAGAAAAAGGTAGTTAATAAAAAAAATGCATAATTTAGCATACATTTATACGTTTAGCTTTTCGACACTAGATGGCGCTGTAGAAAGTCATACTAATTTGGACAATGCTTGGACAACAATTTATAGGAACTAAAACAGGAACCTGCAACCAGAGTGCCATTGGCGAGGCAATGAGCGGACCTGGACTTTAACGGACCCTAACAAGGCCTAAGTGGCCTTGGTCCTTGGTCATTTAAAATTAAGTGGTAAAGATCTAAGCAATTTCTTGTTGTGCGAGTAAATGAAAGAAGTAATTAAAAATATATTCTAAAGATGAACTTTTAAGATGGAGTGCCTGGGCCATTTGTCTAGTAGTTAGTGATTCTGCTAAGCCAGAGGTCATGAGTTCGATTTCCACCCAAGACCTATATGACCCTAGTGATAGATAAGCACGAACATTCATTATGTGTCTGGATATAATTTATTTATATACTTAAAACATATAACTATATTTCTCAATGGAATGGTTAGTATACTATGGATTCTGACTCGTTTGATATTAGACAACCGATAGGTGATATGCTTCGATCAAATAAACTGTTTGGTGGAAGGTGATATGTTAAGTTTTTATTACTAGAGATTGCGTGATGGTCGTGTTGTACCTTAACAGATACCCTGGAGTTTAATGTACCCATTTACATAACTTTTAATTTTTTACACATGTTGTTTAAAAAATTAGCTTTCTGCTTTCTTCTTGTATTACAAATATGATGTGCCGTTCCGTGTGCCACATTTATTTCCTTTCGCCAAGGTCGCGCTTCCGAAGAACAAGCTGTCAAAGGATTTTATGTAATACTAAGTAGACGAAAAAAAAACCGTTCTGGTACGAGACGAACTCGAGCGCCGAGGGTTCCGCACCTACCCAGATTTTTCGCAAAAATTTGTAAGTACCAAAATTTATCTTAATTTTCAACTTTTTTTTTTGAATTATTTCATTATTTGTGCTGTAAGACGTTTCTTTTTGCCAAAATTCGTGATTCTAGGTCAACGGGAACTACCATATAGGTTTTCGACCCACAACCTATAGGGTACTTCCGGTTCCGACCTAGAATTGTCAATTTTGGTTAAAAGGAAGGTCTTACAGCACAAGTAAAGAGAAAATTCTGAAAAATAAAAAAATCGAAATTTGCCCATATCTTTTTATCGTGTTGAATCAGCAACTTGATTTTTATACACCTAATAGGGACCATACCCCTCAGTATCTAGTATAAATTTCAACTGGCTAGGTCTACCCGTTCCTGAGAAAATCGGTAGTGACACACGGGCATACGGATCGACGGACAAGAAAGTGATCTTATAAGGGTTCCTTTTTAACCGACTTCAAAAAAAGGAGGAGGTTCTCAATTCGACTGTATTTTTTTTTTTTTTTTTTTGTATATTTGTTACACGATTACTCCGGCAATTATAAACCGATTTGAATAATTCTTTTTTTATTTGGTAGGTCATACGTCAGAGGTGGTCCCATTGTCACCAGGTCAGGATCTGATGATGGAATCCTGGGGAAATCGAGGGAAACCCTCAAATTTTGTAGGCATATACACTGTTTATCAGAAATTATCTTAATCTATGTAGATTTTTGCATCTAATGGTCACCATCTGATGTTGCTGAGCTGATGATGAAGCTGATGATGAATGGTTTAGGAGTATGGGATCTCTGTAACAAAATTATGTAATACCATCGAATTTGAATGTGTTTGAGTCTAATTAATAAGGACTCCGATCCTATGTGATATTCAGGGTCTGATGATGGAGACGGTAAATAGCCATGGGAACTCTGTAATAAAATAAAGGAATTCCGCCGTGTTTGTGCTCATTTGATTCGTCTCGACTAGGAGCTTCATGCTAGTCGATTTTTAACCAACATCAAAAAAGGAGGGTTTTTGATTCGACAGTATGTTTTCTTTTTAACCGACTTCTAAAACACAAAAGAGGAGGTTCTCAATTCGTCTGTATTTTTTTTTTTTTAATGTATGTTTGTTACGCGATTTCTCCGTCAATTGTGGACCGATTTTCAAAATTATTTTTGTAATCGTAAGGGTATGCTCCCGAATTGGTCCCATTACCACCAATTCAGGATATGATGATGGGATCCTAGAGAAATCGAGGGAAACCCTCACAATTATTGGGAATTTGACAGCCCCGATAACGTGTTTTAGCTACGAGTATTTCTTTAAAACCATGGCAACCGTCAGAGACTGCGCGATGTGATGCGCAGAGAACTTACAGTATTTATGTCACCACAGTAATTTTCGTTGTATTAATAAGAAGAAAAGGTTGAAATTTTGTATTTTATCTTGTTAAAATAATTCGGATAGACGTTTTGTTGCTATGGATGGCATCGCATTTCGTTTGTAAGTAATTTTATACTTAATTTATTAAAATAGTTCTGGAAAAAACTCTTAAATTTTGTGTGAGTCAACTAGGTTAATTTCTAACATTAACCCTTCTAGTTGGAACTCCTTCTATAAAATATTAAGCATATTTGTTGAGTAGTCTCACTAAAGCTTCCCTATCTTCACCTTCGAGGTCAGTGTCAATTGAATCGGAAGTTATTTTGTTCGGTTGCAACTCACAAGAATTTGACTGTTTCTTAGAAAAGAATTTAAGCTGATCTTGATCAGTTTGGACGCCAATGTAGGAGAGGCCTATGTCCAGCAGTAATTTAATATAATATTTAATATAATCTAACAAACTACAGTTTGTTACTATACATTACGGTACGTAGTGTTTTAAATATCGTACTTATCTACTCATTACAAACATATCCTACACTAAAAATGGTAAAATAAACCCTTTTAAAAAAAAAGTTGAACCGACTTCAAAAAACACCGACAAAGAGCACTAAAAATTAAAAAATAATTACAAATCTAAGTAAAAAACTATAATAAGTACCCTCAATGTAACAGGTAACATTACAATACCAATAGTCCCTTCTAGTCTGTTTGAAGTCGGTGCCAAGCTCGATGCACAATAAGTAATACTGGTCTATGTCAGCTTTATATTAGCACAATGAAAAATTAAGAATTAAAAATAATTCTAATGACACATCGAAGATTTTGTTAAGTAATAAAGACCAACCAGATCAATGACGTGCGCAATCGTATCAACTCCTTATTAAAGCATTCAAAATAATAATATAATTGGAGATGTGCGTCCACTTTAGCTCGTTCAACATGTTTTGCGCAGCATGAAGACTGTTGCAGCTGCCGCGCTACATTCTATCAAGCACCTATTTGGCTTGGCACCGACTTCAAACCGACTAGAAGGGACTATTGGTATTGTAATGTTACCTGTTACATTGAGGGTACTTATTATACTTTTTTACTTAGATTTGTAATTATTTTTTAATTTTTAGTGCTCTTTGTCGGTGTTTTTTGAAGTCGGTTCAACTTTTTTTTTAAAAGGGTTTATTTACCTTTTGAAGTACGGAACCCTAAAAATGATAATTATAAACTTCAACCTACAGGCATAATAAAACACAACACAAAAATTAACAGCGAAAAATTGTTAAACCATTTTTTGTGAAGTTTTTTTAATTTGATCAATCTGCATCTCATATTAAAAAAAAAAGTAATAATTTTGTTACCTTACTTTACTAGATTAAAATATCAGTAACTATCAGTGCCATATTAATCATTCAATATGAAAATTTTACCACAGTACTCAAATCATTTTATTTGAGTTCATTGTTTTACTACCCACTTAAGAGTAAATACAGATTATGACATATATCTTAACGCATTAAAATTATAATAATAAAAGACATGATCTCATGGCAAGAGGTTGATCCTCTCATGAGTTCTCAATAGAACTTTCTCTGGTTGCCTCACTTAAGATGATGTAATGCTGTATTTTAATACAACTAGTCATACGTGAGCACATTGCACATTAACTAAGTTATAGGAAAAGGTACCTTAGAGCTTAGATGTTAAAGTAGTTTCTACTGGGGCTTGTCTTGGTACATCTGTTTGGAGTGTGGACATTTGTAAATGCATTATTGAACACTTTTGTAACTGATGTACTTGTAAGTTAGTACATTTGTAGAAGAAAATGGGGTGTGACTATCTAGAATAATTGAAGTTAAATTGTAACTATTTAGGAGACATTTTAAATTAATTAATAGCCTTAATGAGGCTTTGTTTTAAGCGTTAGAAGAGTTAATAGGAGAGTAAAGTTAAAATTATAATCAGTTAATTCAATTAAAAATCAAATTTGATAACCATAATTCGTATATCATATATCGTATATCGTATATTCGTATATCGTCATATTCGTATTCGCTTTTATATAAACAGACGGGTCCTTCCTTGGTTAGTAATTAAACTATTGATACAAATTAAATGTTTAGTAACCAATGACATATTGTTAGTAACAGAGTTTTCATTAACTCTTTGTCAAGTGTAGGGGCCGGTCGCGGTCCAGTCAGTGACACTTTCCAGGATTTGCAATAGATGGCGCTCTGTTACCTGTCTCTGGCAAACTAAACTGGCAAGAAACATCTTTAGGGATTATAGTGATTATTGTGAGTTTTCAACGCAAGTGTTTTTGTAGTAATCGGCAGACATTCTTACTTTAATTTTAATAAAGGTTGATGTCCTTTAAGATATCTAATTGGGTAAATGTTGTCGAAAACAAATATTTCAAGATATAACTCATCATCATCACATCAACAATCTTTAATAGGCCACTGTTGGACATGGCCTCACCTTAGAAAGGAGGTTTTTGCCTACTAAAGTTGGCCAGATGGGTTCAGGGTTTGTGTCAAGTTTTCCTGCGTTTTGTAGTGTTGTTGTCCTGCATAGTTTGCTCCCTTAGTCGGCTCTTACGACACCCAAACGGGATGAATATCGGTGACACTCGGTTTTCTTAATCCGAACGTCACCACACGGAAGAAAAACATATAACTATGGGATTCCAAATTTAAAAGGATTTTTTTAATCCACAACAACAGTGTGCTTTGCGAATCAACATACGATAAGCATTTTTTAACACCTTTGACGTATTAAGGTGAATGGCCTACGGCACGCTCAGCTGATTCAAGTTACGGAACTGCGCATGCGTGAACATAAACAGATTGTCGTAAAACAGGTACTAACATAAATATATAAATTACAAGCGCAATAACATAAACTTTAACATGAATGAAATAGGCATATTGTCACTCAATTTTGAGTGTTTCGTGCCCATAAGAAATATGTAAGCAAACTGTTTGTTTTCTATTGAAGCTTTAACAGATAACAATATAAAATAATATTAAAAATAATCAGTAGCTTTCTCACAAAAAATATTTTTTGTTTCAACGTCTGTCGGCCCAAATAGGTAATAAGTTGAATTTGTCACAGATAAGAAAAAATGTTCGGGCAGCATACGACTGGTCGTTGTGAAGTAGGCATGGTACAAAATCACAGTGAACTGTGAAAGACCCGTGACTTATCATTCGATTTTTTCGTACGTAGGGTAATGTTATTCATCTGTCACCCTAGCAGAAGCAGGCCGGAGTAGCGGCGAGCGCGTTGCGAAGCGCGCTCGCTTCCAGGGAGCACAGGGAACAAGGGGGGGGGGGGGGGGGGGGGGGGGGGGTCGTCTACTCGTCTGTAGATGACCCGAGGTATGTCGGGGCACCAGGGACTTCCTT